AGGCTGCCATGGCGCGGCCCCAGCGTCTGAACTCGTCAGGCACTTACACGGTTAAGTCACTCGTTCATTTGCACAGTAAGGACCCACTGTCTGCTGAGTCCCCTGATGATCCTTAGTGTCTGAGAGAGCAGGCACCATGAAAATGACACCTGCCGCTACCTCCTCAGTAATGGAGCCAGGGTCCTCATGCGGCCGGTGCTTTCATTTAATATGGCTAAATACCTTCCCTATTGATCTTTAACATTATGTGTGCACCTATGAGAACCTGAAGGGGAGGGGATTTTGGGCTGCACTCCCAATGACCAACCACCCGTCAGTTTGCCCTGAGCCAACACCAGAAGCTCAAGCCCAAATCAGTGCACAGCAACTTTCAGGACCAACAACTGACAAGAGAAATAATTTTCTTATGTGCTAAACAGTCACAAATACAATACCTATTAAAAGGACATGATAACAAAGTTCTCAAGTCATGTAAATATCTTTAAAATGTGAAGTAAAATAAAAACATCTTTTAAAAAAGATTTGCTGATCTCAAAGTGAATTCGGCATGTCTTCATTTACAAGCTGCTACACTAAGTCAGGTAAGAGCTTTTTATCATCAGAACAATTCTTATAAAAACAAGTTATCTTAGTAAATAAAATAATACCACTACACCTCATTAATGATAGTATTTCTTAATTTAAAAAGAATTTCAGAAACCAAGTGTAGTGGTGTGTACCTTTAATCCCAGCACTCAGAAAGCAGAGGCAGGTGGATCTCTGTGAGCTCAAGGCCAGTATGGTTTACAAAGCCAGTTCTAGGGCAGCCGGGCTACATAGCGAGACCCTACCTCAAAATAAAAATGATTTCAGAAGAATAGTTCTATCTAAAAGAATGAAAAGTGTTACATCTTCAGTGGGGTATATAACAAAGCTTTTTTCCCTAGAATTAATTTTGGCCTTTCAATATGAGGAGGAATAATTAAGAAACGTGTTCAAAAATGATCACAAACTGCCTCATGCTCGGTATATGTGACATCGCAACTATGCAGAATAATATACTTCTTTGTGCATAATAAACATGTATTTTAAAACTTGAGAAAATGCCAAGACCTTTTTAAGTTCTATATTTGACCTTAAAGAATATGTCTCCATTTCATTGGCCAAGTGGTCAGACAGGCTGTACGGATAAGGGATGCCAAAATAATCAGCCTCTTCCTGCAGGGCGGCTCGGGTCTGTGCATCCGAGGGAAGCCGCACTTCTCCGTGGAGATAATCCAGAATGTACTTAAACAGCTGTCCATCGCGGTCGATGATACACGCCCCTAGAAGACAGTCCGAGACAGTTGGGCAGAGCCGTCAGCTTTGGTTCTCGGCCCCTAAAGGACCCACAATCTCAATGCTCCAGGTCTCAGCCACACACATCAGCTCACACACACGTGCACAGCTGGACCAAGCATGGAACCCAGCATTGACTCTACGGTGGCTGCTCTGTCAACTATAGGACAACGGCTTCTCCAGGGAAACACATTGTCTTCCCTGAAGAACACAGAGAAGCTAGTGTACGATCAGCCTCAGTACCATCACCCGGAATGCCACAGGAAAGCATCAACTTTCTAAACACAGGCATCCCCATCACTAGGTCAGGGTTGGCCTTTTCACCAACTCACCTCTTTGTTACCGTTCAGAAGCGGCACCACAGACTTTAGAAACTGCTATTTAATCTCTCTATGAATCTCCACACAGTCCTAGTGAGCTCGGTAATTAGTGGGCTAATATAATATGTTCTAACGCAACTAAGAAAATCAAAAGAAATTTACAATAGAGCCCCGCTTGGACAAATATTCACACTCATGCTCCTGGCTTTGCACGTTTACCGGATTCATCTGTTTTCAGAGGGAAACGCCCGCTGAACATGGATGCCAGCATGGAGTCCTTAAAGCGGCACAGAGAGTCCCGCCGGGCCGTGTAAATGTAGCCGCCCACGTTCAGACGAAGAATATCGAGCAGCTCTTCTGCCTGGGGGCCTGCCATCGCTCCCTTGGACGCCTAAAGTTTGCCGGAAGCTCTCACACACTTCGAAATGATCACAGTCGTCCCAGACTTCTGTAAAAACAAAGGACAAATATCACTGACCTTGCTGAAAATAAATGGATAAGATAAATATAGTTTAATGTAGTTTAAAGAGATTCTATTTCGTGTGACAGGAAAGACATCTGCAATGCACTACGCTGGGGAAATCTGCATCTGAGGATTTATAAATATTCAGCATTATAAATCACAGCTGATAAAATAACTAGAGATTATACAAGGTAAGGCACAGTCAGGCACATGGTTGTGATCTCTGGCACTGGTGTATGTTTTTAACAAGTCCAAGGAGAGATCCCCAGATGGTTCTCTGGACAGAGGAGAGGGTGCCTGAACCGGCCTTGGCGCATAACCATACTGATGAATATTTTGCATATCACCATAGAACCCTCATCTGGCAATGGATGGAGATGGAGGCGGAGACCCACGTTGGAACACTGGACCTAGCTCCCTAGGTCCAAATGAGAGGCAGAAGGAAAGAGAACGTGAGCAAAGAAGGCAAGGGCAGAGGAAACCTTCATCCGACGTTGGATGGCAATACAGACAGAGACCCATACTGGAGCACCGGACTGAGCCCTCCACGGTCCAAATGAGGAGCAGAAGGATGAAGAAAATAAAAAAAGTAATCAGGACTGCGAGGGATGCGAGCACCCACTGATACAAGGGGACTGATATAATGAGAGTTCACCAAGGCCTGTTGGACTGGGACTGAACGAGGACGTGATCCAACCAGATTCTCTGAATGTGGCTGGCCCGGAGCCTTTCTGAAAAGCCATTGACAATGACACTGGGACTTGCTTCCTCTGCATATACTGGATTTTGGCGATCCAGTCTGTTTGGACTCTCACCTTCCCTGGACCTGGAGGGAGGGGGGAGGAACTTGAACTTCCCACAGGGCAGGAAACCCTGACTGCTCTAGGGGATGGAGAGGGAGGAGGAGAGGGAGTGGGGGGAGTGGGAGGGTGTTGGGAGGAGGGGCTGAAATGGAAACTTTTATAATTTAATAATAATAATAAAAAAACAAGTCTGAAGATACCATCTAGACTGAAGAGATGGGCATATAACACAGGGAACAGCGGGGGTTTTACCAATTACAACCTCTGGTGCTCGGGCCAATCGATTATCTTAATTTTCTTGTTTCCTTGTATATAAATTGGTAACACATAAAAGCACATGGCACAAACTTCAAATGCAGCAAATGATGAATTCTACATGGTGACACAAATTTCCCATAAGGTACACGCTGGGGAACTTGAGACAAACACTGAAGATAAGGAACTACCAATAACAGTAACCCTGAAATTGTAGCTAATTATATAACTAAGCAATGTATCTTTTATTAACTGGGATCAGAAGTGTACTTACACCATGGGCTATTTACACCATGGCTCATGGTTGAGATCATGTGACTTTTCTTGCAGAGGACCTAGGTTCAATTCCCAGCACCATATGGCTCACGACTGTCTGTAACTCCAGTTCCAAGTGATCTGACGCCCTCGTCTGGCCTCTGCGGTCACTGCGTGCACATGGCGCACAGATATAGATGCAGAGAAAATACCCACATACACAAAAATAAATAAAATGTCCAAAAATGAATTCTACTTATACAAGTAGCCAGACTTCTCTAGACCTAAGGTGACAGACAGCTTGTCAGTCATCCGGCTCTTTCATTCTAAAATGGACAATGCTTTGGGGACACTCTTGTATAAGTTTCTTTATCCATTCTGAAGATTGTTCACAAATGACCACGGTTCTCTACGAAATCTGAAATGGGCTGGAAACATGTACTCTCGCCATTAAGAATCCCAAGTATCTAAACTTTCATAGAAAGTCTTACAGTGGCTGCCAAACTCAATATATCCACGCCAATTCAGTTTTACTAACTGACCAACTGAAACCCTTCCCCAGAGACACCAACTTCACCAAAACCAATAAAATGGGAGGAGACCACTAGAGCCTGAGGAAGGCCAACCAACGAAAAGCATTAGGAACCAACAAGGTTCTGTCTTCCAAAATCCAGTTACTTGTAGTGATATTTCATTTGCATTTTAATAAACAAAGCTTACCTGAAGACCAGAACGCAAAACAGACGCACTAGTCAGCCGTACAGGCCAGGCAGTGGTGGTGCACGCCTTTAATCCCAGCACTAGCGGAATATAAGGTGGGATGAGACAGAACTTGCTCTTTCAGTATGAAAATTTCAAAGCGCTTTCTAGTAGCTGGCTGCGTTGCGTCTCTGATCTTCAGGTTGAACCTGGGTTTTTATTATTCACGCTACACTTACTGATGCGACCTCTTGCTGCCTCAAAGTCCCAGAGCTGCATTCCAACCAGTCCTGAAACACAGAACAGCCACAGCACGGTTGCTGTCCACAGTTACCTGCTCCCTACCATCCTATTTTTCCTGTTCCTAGATAAGTCTCACTTATCTCTTGCAAGATCTTTCCGTGCAGAGTTAGAATCCTTGCACAGATAAATTTCATGGCATGTGTTTAATCTCTTCTTAGCCCCTCCCATTCCCCCTAAAACTCAAGAAAGCAAGGGCAGTGCCGTTCTCGATAATCCCATTGACTGAACGCCTACTGTGTCCTAGACGAAGAGAACTAGACAGACATTACCTAATACACAGAAAACAAAACTTGATCATACAAGAATCCTTGTCCCTACCGACAGATGAGAACACTGGGCAACGGATTCACTGGTTTGTGCTGCAGCCACACAAACTTGCCTGCGGGTAAGCCGTTAAACCAGAGATAGATAACCCAGGGCAGCCGGGTGAACCTGGGGGATGCACCCACAGTCCACCCCACCCCCAGGGCTCCTGCTTTCGGTCCTGCCCTCACTATCAGCTGCCCAAGGCCGGTCCCGGGGATGGCGTGGCTCGGGTGCACGCCCTGAGGCCTCCTGTGGTGTGAAGACCCTCCGCACCGAACCGGCCACGGCAGGATTCAGACAGCCTGAGAGGCGGGGGATCGGCGGATCGGGGACTCCACTCGGAGGAGCACACTTCAAAGGGATCAGGGCCCTGAACCCAGCCGGACAAAACAGGTCGAGGCGAGCGGGCGAGCAGGGGTGTGTGTGTGTGGGGGGGGATCATAGGCCCTGGCGGGGTCTTCCTGCCCCGCCAACCCCATCTCGG